CTTCGCTGAGTCCCTACTTGGAACATATCTCAGTCACAAAGGCAAAATAATTGGTCAGTTAGGAGGTTTTCATTTTCTTCAAATTCGTGGCATTAAATATAGTGCCAAAACCGCTTCATACATGCATTTATGCGAACTCTCAGACACAATTAGCGTGAACACGGCGTTGGAGCTTTTCAGCATGGGGGACATGCGCGCGTAACGAACAAAAGACACCTGAAAAACAAAGAGAGATGGCAAAAACTATGCAATACCAATGAATAAGGAGCTCCATGGGCACGTAGACCATAAAAATTTACTGAGAGTAATTTACCATATGATTATAATACAAATAAGTGCAAAGGTGCACGCGAGCGGGACAAGAATGACAAAAATAATCCCCGGAAAAGGGAAACAAGAGGGACAAAGGACAAACATAAATCTCCAAACACAGCCAGGTGACTATACACTCCGTGCGGGAACTATAGGGGGCGCTTTGAAAAACGCGCGCAGCGCCGCTAGCGGGGGAGCTGGCGTTCGACCGTGAGGCGCGTTTAGCAGCCTGCGGCGCCTTTTCGCATGCCAAGCTGTGGCGGCGGAAGCACGCACGGACGAAACTTTTGCTTTTTGAGCCGATACGTTGAGAGTGACGTTGCATGAGTGCTGGGGCAGAAGGGCATTTATCTGTTCTCCACTTCTTACATATTGAGTTTTAGTCGTTATTCGGGGGAATTTCTCTAGTGGCGGCCAAAAAAGGAGTTGGAGCAATTTTCCGAAAAGCAAGACGGCCGCCACCATAATTGCTTTGAGTGGGAAATTTATTTCGCTCGTCGCTGTGAACGTAGGACTGCTGGAACAATGATATTGGAGGCGAGTGAGATGTCCACGAAGTTTCTGCACGAAGTGTGCCAAGTTTCAGTAAGACAGCAGGTGTGAAAGTTGTTTCTAACGAATGAAGAAATAAAGCTGTACGGTATATCCAATATTGGACCCAAAATGTTGTGTTATAGCGGGCTGTGCAAAGTGCAGACTTGGGCACACAGGTGCTTGGACTTGACAGTAACATGACACAGCACTTATTATACAAAAAAAAAGGTGGCATAGGGAAACCAGGTGAAAATTTGGTTTGGGCGGCGCAACTCAATGGGAACCGGTTTTGACCATGAAAAGGCTGTCAAGAGAATACCACTGGTCGGGGGAGGTGGAGACTTTAGAGGTAGGAAGGGACTAGTGGACTGTACTTCCAATTGAAACAACTTTACGAAAGGTGGTTCCAAAGCCGAGAAAACGAAGTTGTCGGCAAACACACGGTTTGGCCGCCAAGGGCTTTTGCGGTCAGCTGTTGTGTAATAACCTGTTGTGCGAGGTGCTGATTTTCGGCCCACAGGTACTTTGACATGACCGTCACTTGGCACAACACCTATTATAACAAAAATAGTTGGCATTGCGAAACCAGGTGGAAATTTAGTTTGGGCGGCGTAACTAAATGGGAACTGGCTTTGACCGTCAAAGGCTGTCAGAAAATACCACTCATCGTGGGAGGTGCACACTTTACAGGTAGGAAGGGACCAGTGGACGGTACTTCCAGTTCGAACCACTTTGCGATAGGTGGCTCTAAAGCCGAGAAAAAAAATTGTTGTCTACAGAACTCGGGGTGTCAGTGTTTCCACATCCAAAAGGAGGCTGATCAAGAAAGAAAGCACACCACATAAACTTCCGTACTCAAACGCCGATTCTCCAGTGATTCCGAGTTTCATGGTTGTTTTCTTTAGATTTATATTTGTCACTTTCTTTACCGTTCAAATCTTTCTTCGTGAAGTACAGATTGCGTGCCATACTTGTCCGGAAATATCATCGACACGTACGATGGGGACGAAACTTCTTTGGAGGGCATTCGTCCAACGAAATTGGCACTGCATACCCGCGAGTGTGGGATGGCATTTCAGTTCGTCCCGTCGGCGCTGACACATGTAGGCGTTACTGGAACGAAAACAAACGCGGAGCGCAAAGCGGCAGTGTAGAATATGTCAGCCGTGCCGACACAGTGGCAGACATGATCGGGACACCAAATTTCTCGCGTCGTACGGCACGGCTCCATCGTTGTCGCTGTCCCACAAAACATCGGCGAGGTGAAAAACTGTGAAACTTTGTCTCCACGAGATACGACGCATAACTATTGAAGCACTTAATGACGCAGCACAGGCAGCACTTCATGCTGTGAACCCAGCGCAACAGCACCACTCCGACTTCAACGCGTACCAACGTACGCGGCGTGGTTTCGGTTTCGTTTTCTCTGGGGTGCTCACTGCCTACCTTCGGTACCGGCCGCGCGGCGGCGCGCCAGTCGCGTTGCACGGAGTGTATAGTGCGCGACCGAAAAAATCCGCCTGGTCCGAATATCGCTCCCGGGACCTCCCGATTTCCAGTGGACCGCTCTGAGCTAACCAGGGGTTGGACGTCAGTAGAGCATAGTTTGATTTGCAATAAATAAAATACCGCATTATTCTTTCTCTTCGTGAATATATGCGAAGATGCTAGTTCTGTGTTCAAAACATCACCCGCACTATCGAAATCTTGTGCAAGTGTCCGACTAAAGCTGCCCGGCATAGGATATCACAAAAACAAAACACCTTTCAAAACCCTACTTTATACTTTATGTTTAGAATATTTTTAACTGCTCGTAAAGATTCATGACGTGGCTATATTCAATATATTGAGAAGACGGCTATATTATCAATATATAGCCGCCACCGGGATACTGGCGAACCTTGAAGACACTACATTCCTTTCGATTGCAATTTCGCTTAGAATCGTGGCTCTTGTTTACACATCGGCTGGAACAAAGCTTTGGGCCTTAAATATGGCGAAGTTTAACATCATTCCCCGGTGAAGGAAAATACTGTAGCTAAACCAATTACACGTTTTCAATAGTACGATCATAATAACAAGAGCGATTTATGTTATTTTCCGGCGAAGAGACGAAATGCACGGGAATGCCCCAAAAGCAGACTGGTTGCTGTCAGCATCAATTTGCTTCACGGAAGCCGCATAAACACTAGCGCTGGTTGAACTTGTAGCGTAAATTTTAACTTTGTGTTCAGAAGACGCCGTTTTACGCGTGCCATAAAAGAGATGAAAAATTAAAGACTTTTAAGACTCTCGGTAATGCCGAATTAGAGTGCAGCTCTTGAGGAGGAGGAGAGGAGGGTACGGAGAGGAGGGTTTTCCCCTCCTCCTCTGTATCCTCTCCTCTTCCCCTCCTCCTCCTCTTCTCTTCCCTCCTCCTTTCATTCTAATCCTGCCCTCCCCTCCACCTTTGTCTCCCCGTCCTTCATCCTCCTCCGCCTCTCAGTCTCCTCCCCTCCTCCTGCCCTTCTCCTTCCCCTCCCTCACTTCCCCTCGTGACGTCACTCGTGAAGGCCTCGTGAAGCATCAATAGTGACAGATAGGCCAGTTGGTACATGATCTCTTTTGACAAAATGCGCCGCACGACAGGGACAGAGTAAGGGAGACAACACGAAGCGCTACATTCAACTAAATGTTTATTGAAACAACACACACTATTTATGCACCCAATCGGGCTTCTCAAGCAGGAATTCAAATTCCTTGTCTCTTAGGTGGACTGTCGGGGCACTTATGCATCTGTCATCCCCCTGCAATCTAATGTTGAATGACTCGTACAGTTCTCTCGCGATTTTGCTTCTTAGCTTGCACACAATTTTTGTTTTGTTTTTCCTTTTTCAATTCTAGGGCTTACAGGCATCTGTCGCAGTGAATAGCTGAATTTCCCAACGGGGAATTCCTTACTGATAGCGCGCGCTCGCTTGCCCTCTCATTAACGCATCTGCCTGTTTTTCCAGCGTACCCCTTTCCGCATGTCACTGAAACTTCGTATACGACCGAAGATGCGCATTCCACGAATTTCCTAGAGTGTTTATAATGGCAAACGTCACTTCCGTTTTTTACTTTGATAATTCTTCGGCACAGGTTGGACAGCTTCTCCGGGACCGAAAATACAACCAGCGAATCAAAGTGTGCCGCAACTTTTTTTCAGGTTGTGTGAAACCTTGTGGATATAGGGTATAACAGCGGGTCTCACTCTCCTCCTGGGTTCATGTGCTTCCTCTTCTTTGTTTTTTTATCCTGGAAGCAAGTGTCCCAGCCATCTCCTGAAGAAAACGTTCAGGGTAACCCGACAATATTAGGCGTTCCACCTGGTTGCAAAAACTGCCTTTCATGGTGTGCTGGCACGACTTGGCAAAAGATGCCTTCAAAAGAGAGAAAGGGATCCTTCTTTCAACCAGCTTAGAGTGTACTAAATTAAAAAGCGAGACCGTTTTTTTTTTTTTTTTTTTTTTTTTTTTTTTGAGCGTGGTCTGTATTCTTAGCACACGTGCCCTTCTTGAATATCTAAACTTAAATCGAGGAAGTGCAGCTTTCGTGACGTCATTTTTTCGTGAGTAAACGAAAACTCGCGAGAATTCAAAGAGAAAATTCCCAGCCCTCTTTGAATGGGGTTGTCATCCAACACAGTGGTGCGATACTAGCTCCAGGAAGTCATCGACGTATCTTAGTATTTTAACACCCCCCTCTTCTTCTAGATTGCTGAGCACTTCCTGGCACTATCGCGCCAAAAAATGTCGCACAGTACAGTGGCGACTCGCGACCCAATGCAGCTGCCTCGCTTTTGAACATACAAGTAACTTCTAAAAGGCATAAAGCTAGAATCTAGGTAGCATGTACGCGATTCAAAAGGCTCGAGGTACACCTAAGCACCTCTTATGACTTGTAAATGCGAAAGCACGCACGCCGCTCTTCGCTCCCTTATTTCATCTGCCGCGTACAACGCGCTGACCTTGGACGTGGAACCATAGAGTAACACAGTAAACGAAAAGAGGGGACACTCGAGCCGATTCGCGGCCCACGAGCTAGGGACTACGACGACCGTTCAGTGGCACTCCAGTCACACACCTAATTTAGACATTTATCATATTTTGACCCTTGATAAATAACACCACTCTATAACCTAACATTTCAAAATTAATAGCAGTTCCAAATACTTTTAAAAACAATTTGGACAGCTGCGGCTTTGGCTGCGGCTCAGTGGATGGCTTTGGGGCCGTCGGCTCGGCGGACGGTAGCTTTCCGGTCACGTCGCTCGAAAGGTCGGTTGGGCTGCACTTGAGTGGCTCGTGCGGGCTTCTCGACATTCTTCCGTTGTTAGAAAGGTGAGTCGTTTTACTGACACCGTATTTTGCTTGCTTTTGGCTATAGTTGGATGCACGGGCTAAAGTGCGAGCTAATTGCTCTGGATGAAGCCTCGGCAGTTGCACGTGCACGAGTGCGCTCGTGCAGCGAGAGCGCCAGTTAAGGCACTCAAGGCATACTCAATTTCATACCTCATGTGCATCGCTGTCAATGCTGGTAACGCGAGCGCGTGGCTTTTGCGCCAGCAGCTATGACAGCGTTGTACCTGGCGCCATGTATGAAGCAGGGTAGGTACCGCAGGGGGTACAGGTAGCCTTCATGCGCGCTTTGCTTAGGGCGAGGCCATCCTAAGCAAAGCGCGCTCACGAGGAAAATACAAAGAAATGGAAGGTGACAATACCGTGAAGGCTTTTCTTTATCACCACTCTTTGTTGTCGCTTTAACAATTTTGGTTCCCGAATTGCTATGAAATGAAGGCACCAAATTCGCGTAATCTCAAATTGACTTGTGCAATTTTCGCTTCCCAGCTGATGCCGCCAGGATGTTTGGCTACGGCAGCTACTGTTGCGTAGTCTGGTGCGGAAACAATGGGAGAACGCGCAAGAAGCCAGGAACAAAGTTCTTTCGAGTTCCACGAGACGACAGGTTGTCCTTTGTTTTAACAACGTACTGGACGCATAGTTCTAACGAAAACCGGAGAGAAAGCTGAATGTTTAATCAAAACTTATTTAATCAAAACTTTACTTCTGTTAGTACTAAATTTAGTTTTAAAACATTCCGTTCCATGATAACCGGATTGTGGTGGACTAGCTTCCCAGCTCTGCAAGGCAGACTGCAATACAAATTTTTTGCTACGTGCTGAATTAACATGACATGCAAGGAAAGCACAACTCGTTTTTTTATGTGTTTTTTTATTGAGATTAAGTTTTTTAATGTTTCTATAAATGAGCAAGGCACTAAAACTAGCTGATGCCCATTGTCAGCACTGGTATAAAACTACCAAACTCCCAAAAAAGTTGCACTTCTTTTTATAGCATTGCGCACCTTTTAACCAGTCAGCAAAATTGTGTATGAGTGCAGTCAATAAATAACTACAACCTTCTGAAGCACTATTAGTTTGCTTATCACCTCCATGTGAAACCACAATATCTAAACCATTAAGCGCCGTTCACACTCTTGCAACCGAGTACGACCGAGAGAGACAAGACCGGTTTTTAATCCTCTTACGACTTCTTAGGACCAGCTCCGCAGCAGCGCGCCTGGTCCTAAGAAGTTTCTCTCGGTCGTACTCGGTTGCAAGAGTGTGAACGGGCCTTTATGGTCAAATATTTTATTTTTAACAAAAATAAAGAATAATGAAGTTCACTACATCTTCCAGGTCAAAGGCACGACTGAGGTATGCCAAAAGAGACGACCTTCTGCGAAAATCGTCCAGTGAGCTGCATGCGAAGTATTTCGTCTGCAGCAGTCACTTCACAGCGCGTGACTTCATGGACCCTGGGCGAACAAAGCTAATGAAAACCGCTGTGCCTTCAGTTCGCCCATCGACATATTCAGATGCTGAGAGAGCTAAAGGTAAAGATTTATTTAACTATCCATATACGAAAAGTATGTTACTTGTGTAAAACTTTATTTAAACACAATATTGCTTCTACGGCTTCACAACCTAACTTCTAATAGACGAAACTCTTCCAGACTTTATGGAAGCGACAACCCCACCGTGCGGCGCAGACCCCATGGAGGCTACAGCCTCCAGCTTCCGGCCCGAAGAACCCTCAACCGCTGCCCATGGTGAGGAAGGACTTGTGTTGGAAACAACAGCCTGGGCCTAATAGACAAATTTTTCCAGACTCCATGGAAGCGACACCCCCACCGTGCGGCGTAGACCCCATAGAGGCTTCAGCCCCTTCATGCGGTGCAGCCTCCAGCTTCCGGCCCAAAGAACCCTCAACCGCTGCCCATGGTGAGGAAGGACTTGTGTTGGAAACAACAGCCTGGGTCTAATAGACAAATTTTTCCAGACTCCATGGAAGCGACACCCCCACCGTGCGGCGTAGACCCCATAGAGGCTTCAGCCCCATCATGCGGTGCAGCCTCCAGCTTCCGGCCCGAAGAACCCTCAACCGCTGCCCATGGTGAGGAAGGACTTGTGTTGGAAACAACAGCCTGCGTCTAATAGGCAAATATTTCCAGACTCCATGGGACCGACAACCCCACCGTGCGGCGCAGACCCCATGGAGGCTACAGCTTCCGGCCCGAAGAACCTTCAACCGCTGCCCATGGTGAGGAAGGACTTGTGTTGGAAACAACAGCCTGGGTCTAATAGACAAATTTTTCCAGACTCCATGGAAGTGACACCCCCAGCGTGCAGCGTAGACCCCATGGAGGCTTCAGCCCCATCATGCGGTGCAGCCTGCAGCTTCCGGCCCGAAGAACCCTCAACCGCTGCCCATGGAGAGGAAGGACTTGTGTTGGAAACAACAGCCTGCGTCTAATAGGCAAATATTTCCAGACTCCATGGGACCGACAACCCCACCGTGCGGCGCAGACCCCATGGAGGCTACAGCCTCCAGCTTCCGGCCCGAAGAACCTTCAACCGCTGCCCATGGTGAGGAAGGACTTGTGTTGGAAACAACAGCCTGGGTCTAATAGACCCATTTTTCCAGACTCCATGAAGCGACAGCCTCACCGTGCGGCGCGGACTCCACGGAGGCTACAGCCCCATCATGCAGCTCGCCCTTGGATTTCCGACCGGTGACACCGTCCACATGGTCCTCCTCTGAACCAGTTGGAGCTTGTAAGTGTCCCATTTCTTTTGTTCACCTGTGCCCATATGCTACTACTCATATAACTAAAATTCATGCATGTTAAGGTGGGTATTAGTTTGTCTACTTTTCCAGTGATGGGCTTTTCATGCAAAACCTGTAATATACCTTACGTACTGTATTGTCAAGGCATACAGTGGAAATATGTAAATTTAGCAAACATAGCTTCAAAAGCCCAGTTTCCCACGATTTCTAATTGTCTGTAGTTTAGGGGCATATTATCTACTTGCAGATTATGTCACTGTAAGGTAATGTTGGCTATGCTGGTTATAAGGAGAACTGCTTACCTGCTCTGATTTCGTTATTTTTATTTTTTACCCGTTTCAGGTACTTCTACGCCTCCTCTGCGCAGTTCTGCGCCGATACCTAAGGACATCATAAGGCGTCTCCAGGTCAAGGTTTCAAAGTACCGGAAGACCATCGCAAGGCTGCGCAAGCAAGAGAAGAATATGCCTCGATCGGCTGCGGAAGCTCTCAACATCATTCGCCCTCACGTAACAGACGAGGTATTTCACATACTGTCAAGCCATGTTAAATTGAAATCCAAGGGCAAGGGAAAACGATTCCCGTTATGGTTGAAAAAGTTTTCTCTTCATCTCAACTTCCGTGGGCCGCGGGCATACCGTTGTTTGTCTCGTTATCTCACTCTTCCTACTCAGCGCACACTAAGAAGACGGCTGTCGGATGTCAAAATGACACCTTGAATTATACCAGGCATTATGTCATCCATTTTTACAAAAACACAATCATGGAGTAAGCGCGATCGCGTCTGCACTCTCATCTTCGATGAGATAGTGTTAAAAAAAACTTGTCATATGACGTGTCACAAGATGTTGTTCATGGATTTACGGATGATGGCTACGAACGAACCTCAACGATTGCCGACAGAGCACTGGTTATCCTTCTTTCCGGAGTTTCCCGGAGATGGGTTCAACCAGTCGCTTATACAATTGGGCACACGTCTACGCCATCTACCGTAATCCGGAACTTGTTGATCTCGCTCACTGAGCAGTTGCAAGACACTGGAACTACAGTTAAAGCTGTAATTTGTGACCAAGGGGCTTCCAATGTAAGCTTATCAAACCAGCTTGGTGTCTCTGTGGCGCAGCCCTTTTTTTCGTAAAACGTGAACGCGTTTACTTCATTTACGACGTTCCCCATTTAGTGAAAACAACTCGGAACAACCTGCAGGCCCACAGGCTTCATATCGAAAATGAGATTGTAGACTGGGCAGATATTGTGAAACTGTACCACTCCACACATGAGATGCGACTGCGGCTGGCGCCAAAGTTGACTGAAAGACATATCTACCAGAAACCTTTCAGTAATATGAAGGTTAAGCGGGCGACCCAGGTATTGAGTGCTTCAGTGTGCGTCGCGCTTTCAGCTCTTGTCTATGCGAAACAGCTGCCTGAAGCAGCCATGTCAACTGCTTATTTTTGTGACCGCATGGACAAGCTGTTTGATTGCTTGAATAGTTCCAGTCCAAAGAAAACGGAGCAAAAGTTGCGCCATGCTATTCGAAAAGGGCAGCCGGATTTAGTTGAATTTCTCGGAAAACAGCTTCCATGGATTGCGTCTTGGAAGTTCGAAGGCAAACGTCAGCCACACACTATCATCGGGTGGCAAATTACGATCAAAGCCGTCTTGCAGCTGTAAGAAGATGTTTCCCAGAATTACGACTTTGAGTTTCTCCTCACGCGTCGACTTCAACAAGACCCACTTGAACAGATGTTTGGACACATAAGACAAAAGCAGGGATGCAACTCGAATCCCAATGTGCCTCAGTTCATATCTGGCCTGAAACACATTGGGATTCAGAAGCTCCTCACACTGTCACCGAAGGGAAATGTCGAGGAGGATGAGACGGACCTCCTCCAGGAGTTGTCCCCATTTTCACTTAGTAGCGAGTCACGCGTGGATGTTGTACAGCATGTACACAGGACGACTTTCCATCTTTGGAAAACATCACTGAGTTGGCAGCCCATGAGGAGTCCCATGTTATTGACAACTCTGCTACTTATTATGTTGCTGGCTTCATTGTTAAAATGTGTACTGAGAAGGCTGCAGAAGGTTGTTGTTGTCCTGACTTGCTTAGAGATGAGCACAGTAACCTTGATGAGCCACATCAGTTTTTTATGATGCTGAAAGCGTACCACGTCCCAGGCAAGGTCTTCGGCAACTTGACTGTGCCATCAAGCGCAGCTTTCACACTTGTTCAGCAGCTCAAGTCAATCTTTCTTTCTGTTATCGAAAGTGTAGCGCACCTCCGAAGTGTTTGTGAAACATTGTACATAACTCTCTCGCGTGTTGGTGATTTTAATTTTTGTACTCTAGAGTGTCGTGCACGGTTTTTAAAAATGTTTTGCCGAATTCGATTGTGCTGGCATGTCCGTTTTGTAAATAGAAACTTGGATAAAGTTCGCTTCCATTCTCGCGTCTCTGGTGTACAGCTTGAAAAGTTCAGTGGGTAGAAGATTATGTTTCAGCCTTTATGTTGCATCTCATAAGATATCTGCAACAGTAAAATTAATTTTATTGGGATTTTATTGGGCCGTGCAGACTGCACACTAGCCATTTGTTGGGATTATTTGCAGTCAGTAGGTTGCACTCTACTGGTCTATTGTAATGACTGCTTTTTTAGATGGTCATGTCTGTTTTTTTCCTATTGTGGTCATGTGGAATGTGTAAGTTCCCATATTGATCTTTGTTAATACTCTCTTAGGTCACTCATCTCGGATGCAACTTTCTTTTCTTTTGGACACTGTTTCTGCTTTACACATATGTGGAGCGTGAAGGAGATTGAGATCAGGGGTGTCCACCAACCTGGCAAGCCTGAAATGCTCAGGGAATTTTGGATCACCTGGAAAAGTCAGGGAATTATCAGGGAAACTGTCAAAAGGTTGGCTAAATCAGGGAAAGTGACGAGTAAAAGTGGCACGGTGGTGCGGAACGAAGCCCGGCGATCAGGTGTCGTCACGGTTCTGCTGAATAACATTGCCCGAAATGTCATCCTTCGAAGGAAGGAACAGCCAGGAAATTTTATCAAAATAGTCAAGGGAAACCTGGAAAAATCATGGACTTTGGAAAAGTCATTGGGTAGACACCTTGTAAGATGTACCTAATTAGGCAGTGCAGATTGCATGCCAAGTCTTGGTGGAATCATTTGTGATGAGTGGGTCGCAGGTACACCGGGCACCAGTCTGATTTAGCAGTCTTTTGTCAGCCATTTCATGTGCGCTTGTTATGGTAGTGGTCATGGTAAACCTTGCATGTTAAATGTGGCATGTTAAGCGTGACATGAACGTAAAACCTGTATTAGACCGTCGGTTGGCTTTCAGTTCTTGTTATTTTGGTCATTATTGTTACTTAAATCAGCAGGAGCAAGGTATTTTTAATTCTGTAGTTCAGGCTGTGTTAGGGTTATTTAATGACTATGTCACGGACTAAGAAGGTCTATACTAGTGGCAATCTTGTTTAGGCATTTACTTGTCTGTTTTTCTCATTGTGGTCATCGTGCATTTCAGATTTCTTCTGCTGAGCGTTTTATTTGCATACAAATTGCATTGGATCAACGAGCTTTGATACTGCATGGCCAGTTTTTTTTTTTTTAGTATGTGTTGCTGATGCTGCATATGTTATGTGTGTGGTGCACCTTCCATGGAACATGCTTGAGAACACAAAACAGGCTTGCAATCCAATTGCAGTTGTAACATTGTAATTCCAGTTGTTTGATAAGATTTTCATGCATGCCATAATATGCTTGTCATTTTTTTGTAGGATGTATTGTTTGTGAATCCTTGATGTACGGTGCTTATGTTTTGTAGTTTTGGTAATTATATACGAGGCACAAACTGCCCACCATATTTTTGTTGCGAAAATAAACTGTGTTGATTACTCCCTGGTGGTGTTCTTCAGGACAGCACAAACCTACATGGGTTTCCTGGCTTGTAAAGTCAGTGTTAACTGTATATAGTATTGTCCATTAGTTGTCCGCATTAGGAATCGTACATACGTGTGAAGTAATCACAGCTGAAATTTACCATGCGGGAATAGTAGGAAAAACATAACTCGCGGCAAACCAGATGGCGCAGGCTGCCGCCCAATACACTACGCCAAACTATATATCTATCCATCCGGTAAGTATTTTTATTGTGACTCCATTCATTCAGTTGGGGACTACGACGGCCGCTGGGTGCGCTCCCTGCCAGCTAAATGGGCCGCTGGGGCCTATGGGAGTGTCCGCTCTTTACCTTGTGTAGATTACTCTATGGTGGAACGGTGGAGCCGCTGCCCCTCGGACACGAAGCGTCATCGGGTGAGCGATCCTTCAAAAACTGTTGTGTGCCTTGCGGCGTAAGGAAGGACCAGACAGCAACGTAGTTCCCAGCACAACAAATCCCTTGGTTTATTCCACGCGTCGCATATACTGCCACGCGCCGTACGAGCAATAAAAGGCGAGCGAACGCGGTGATCACCGATAACGCAGCAGTGTAATAACACAGTCAGGATGACACCACACAAACTAAAGCGCAGCGGCCAGTGGGAGCCTCGTCGACGCGCGCCAGCCAATGGGACTGAATTGTAAAAGATGCCGTTAGCTAGCTTTGCGCGTGGTTTCAT